TCTTTTGACATTTTCATAACCTCTGCTATCTCTCTCACTTTAATTCGGCGGTCGTCTAGCACAATTTGGTGAACTTTGGCGATGTTTTCGTCGGCAGTTGCAGTTTTTGGACGTCCCGAACGTTCATCGTCTCCCAAGCTCTTACGGCCACGTTTAAATTCAGCTGCCCAAAATTTCACTGTGGTAAATGATGGTGCAGAGTCCCCGTACACAGAATCCAACTCATCTTTGATTTGCGTAGGCGTATTGCCTTTCAAAAACAGATATTTAATGACAGCTCGATACTCGATTTTGTCCATTTTCACAAAATGACTAACATGAACTCACTCAAACGACTGCTACATAACAACTGTGCGTCTAAAATGGCTGAAACTGTGGTGAGTAACTGTTAACAGATGAACAACAAAATTCACTAGCTTTTACTTACCGATGCTGCTATCTTCACGTTGAGGTCGGAAACTTTTCAGACAGCCCTCGTAGATTTCATATATTTTTACGGTATAACTTTTTTTAACTTAGTTGAATTAACAAACAAAAAGTCCTTATTTATAATTCTGAATAAAGTAGCATTTATAATGCATTTTTAAATAAAACAATGGATTTTCTACTCACAATTTTGAATAGCATTTATAGCCTAATTTAAAAGAAATTTATAGCCTATTTTAAAAGAAAAACTTTTTTTATTCAATTCGATTAAAAAACTGCAATTTCTATTCTGAATTTTGAATTGAGCAGTATTTACGATGCACAGAAATGACCGATATTATTTTTAGATTCAACTGGATTGAAAAATTGCATTTCCTATTCACAATTTTGAATTCACGATGCACAGAAAATGCTAATATTATTCTTAGGAAAGGCATAGAGATATGCAATTCCTATAAATGAATAAAAATGCATTCCGGATTGAAAAGGATTCGTTTTAACATTCATGAATCCGTACTTCTAAAAATCTGAATCTATTTTAATCTATTTCAATCCTTCTCGTTTGCTGTGTTCGTTTTGGCGCTTACAACGTTTGTAGGCATCATTTGTTTTTGTTTAATAAACAACAAGAATTATTAAATAAAACGACGCTTGTGAGCGTCAAAGCAAACACAGCCGGAGTAATAAATAAGAGTAAGAAATTGATCTCAATCATAATCGATTATTCTTCTCACTGTGATTGGTTAATTTTTTTTCTTCTTACTTTGTGTATTATAAACGACGCATCACATGAAAAATCCGGGCCGCTCTCAGGTTTCTGTCTACTGCTAACCTGTTCAATTTAAGCAGTTGAATATGCTTGATTGGATCTAAGTAACAACCAGTCATGTTCATTTGCTCGACGAGAGACTAACTGATTTGTCAACTTAAACGTGCCCAATTTGACACTATCGCCATGTTGTTGCGGTTATTTGAATTAGAGGCGTTATATCATTATTATTTTACTTATTTTTGTCTTTTTAATTATATTTGCTTGTACAATATATAATATAATACGTAGACTGCTGGAAAAGTTTCTGCAAACAATATGAAAAAAACCATGTAAAATTCGGTAAATGGCTTTATCGTTTTTCGAAGTATTCGCCTTTAAGATCGATACATTTTTGCATATGCTCGAATCAATTTTCGAAGCATTTTTTCCACTCTAAGACTGAAATCTCAGAAATCAGTATACGAAATGTTTCAACAGCTGCTTTAGGCGACTCAAATCGCTCACCATGCATCTTATTTTTAATGTTTGGGAGCAAAAAGAAGTTATTAGGTGATAAATCAGGTGAATACGGACAATAAGTCATCAATTCGACATTATTACTGGATAAAAAATCAACGGTTTGACATGCTGTGTGATAGCTGGCGTTGTCATGATGAAGGATAATGCGACGAATTGTTGTATACCAATCAGTATTTACAGTCCTTCAATCCTCTAAAGCCAGGGTTGTCACGTGTTCGATATAACCGAAGAAACGAGCAATCATTTGTTTGGCTGCGTGAACGAACAACTTTTGTTGGTTTCGGTTCATTTTGAAATACCCAAACAGTGGATTGTTGTTTACTTTCGAGCTCATACGAATAGATCCATGTTTCGTCCCCAGTAACGATGTTGTAGACCAAATTTGACCTACCTCGGTTGAATTTCTTGAGCATTTCTTTGCTCCATTTAACACGAGCCTGTTTTTGAGCTTCGGTCAAATTGTGTGGGATCCAACGACTGCAAAGTTTCCGTACGCTCAAGTGATCATGCAAAATCGTATGTATTGCTTTCATGTCAATGCCTAAGGATGCCTGAATCTCGCGGTATGTTATATGCCGGTCTCGCTCAATCATTTCACGCACAGCATCAACATTAGTAGCAATAACGTGGATGGACGACCTTCATGGAATTCATCACTAAGAAAGGTACGTCCACGCTGGAATTCGGCAAACCAATTATAAACAGTCCTATTGGATGGTGCTTCATCCCCAAAAGCCAAATGAAGTCGATCGATGCATTGTTTCGGAGTTAGATTACATTTGTAATCGTAAAAAATCATTGCCCGAAAATTTTCATGCGAAATTTCCATTTTCTTACGAAATAACTTCTTTTAAAATACTATGCAAACAAAACTAGTTGGCTTGGGTACAAACTGTCAATTGAATTATAGGTTAAAAACGTCTAATTTTACGGATATGATAGTAGCAGAACGTTGGCGCCACTGGAAGTACTAGATTGCAGAAACTTTTCCAGCAGCCTACGTATAATGAATTTGGTTTTATCTTTTTCTATAATATAATTTTCCACAAACTCTTCTTCTCATTCTAATATCAACATTTTTTCTTTTGGGAAATGATAAAAATGTTATTTTTATTGCTTAACTGTACATAAGGTAGTTGGCCTAGAAATCGTCAGGGTACAGGGTCGTCACCAGTAATTGCCAAGTTCATGTATTAAAGACGTATTTTAGTGCTTTCTGTCGATTGTGAGGCTTGTTGATATTTTTAATGGTTCCAAGGAAGTATTTACAATGCTGTGTTACATTGAAACTCGTAAATATATGAATTCATTATTGATTAAATCGAATATGTGCAGCAACCGAGTCTATGCGTGATTTCGATCAAATATTTCATTGTGAGGTTAAGAGACACTGTTTAACATCTCGTGCGACTTTGGAGTATGTATTGGCAACTTGCTTAAGGTAAATAGAGCTTCGAGTTATAAATTGAAATCGCAGTTTTATATACGAGGGTGGTCCCAGAAGTATCCGACCTAACAAAGAAAACACAAAAAATTTGGGAAAAAATATCTTTATTTCTCAACATAGCCTCCTTTTAGCTCGATACACTTTTCCCAGCGATGTTCAATAGCTTCGATCGCCTGTTTATAGTAAGAACCGTTGAATTCCTCAAAATAGCCATTAACTGCAGACTTCACCTCTTCATTGTTGGTAAATCTTCTACCACCGAGCCATTTTTTCAAGTTTGGAAAGAGAAAATAATCCGAGGAGGCTAAATCTGGCGAATAGGGTGCGTGGGGAAGCAATTCGAACTTTAACTCAACATCCTCTCGACGCTGCTTTTGTTCGATTGTAAGCAAGCGCGGCACCCACCTTGCGCACAGCTTTCTCATCTCCAAATTTTCAGCCAATATGCGATGTACAGCACTTTTTGAAATGTTTACCATGTCTGCTAGCTCGCGCATTTTCAATCGACGGTCACTCAATACCATTTTGTGGATTTTCTTCACCATTTCTGGAATGGCCACCTCACTTGGTCGGCCATTGCGATGTTCGTCTTTGCAGCTCGTACGGCCTCGTTTAAACTCTGCCACCCAACATTTTACTGTTGTAAACGAAGGAGCAGACTCCTCCAGAGTAAAATCCAGCTCGGCTTTGATATTGGTTGGGCTAAGACCTTTCAAATGAAAGTATTGTATCACATAATGATGACCAATTTTTTCCATCTTTGCAAATTCACCGAGATCGTCCACTATTGATGGCTGCCAAACAAATACTGAACAACGTAGCGTCTTCAAACTTCATAGTTAAGCTTTAGAAAGTTGGTGCTTTCCCCTACAGTGATTTTTTTTATACAACAACCGCCATCTGTACGTCAGGTCGGGTACTTCTGGGACCACCCTCGTATATACACCACCACAAATTATTGTTTCATACAAATTTTTATAGATTTTTTTTACGTGACAAGCACTGGTTCACTGAAGCATGTAGTCGTTCGAGTAATCGCCATATTTGTCAATTACTGGGACTAGCTGGGCCGAAAAAAATTCTTGTAAATTAAATATTAATGTATCCAAAATCCAAATGAAAAAATTAGATCCATAATTGTTATTATCTACCATAGATATTCTACGGACCAGTAATCGTTATATTTATAGTCGAGTTAATAAATAGATACGCAAGCAAATAAAGGATATCGATCACTAGATCATTTCTGTATCGATAACTGGTACCCACATCTAAAACAGAAATCGGCACTCGAATAAAAACTAATTTTACAATTCATTTTACATTCTTTTCTGTTGGAACAGTTATTAATATTTATTGAAAATTTGTAATAATGATAGTTCTGGAAAAAATAAAATATAAAAAATTATAAAAATATATATATTATATATTTTATAAAAAATTATAAAATATAAAATCATTCCATCGTTCATGTATGTGTATAGTTACCCAAAGAACACAAAGTCGTTTAAAAGATAACTAAAAGACGACTAAATTGTTATAAAGATATCTTTTAATGAAAGAATATAGTCGACGAAAAGATGACTAAAGGATGACTTTTCTCTGGATATCTTTTAATCGTCTTTAATACTTTTTTTAGTTTTTATATTTTGATACGTATAACGTTTAATAAATTAATTTTTTAAATTAATTTTTACACAAAACGAAATAAAATTAAATAACTGACAATATACGTCCCATTTCCTGCGATCTTTGTCGTGTTCTATGTGCAAGAGTCATTATTTTCTATCATAGTCCCCTTTGGGGACTTGATTACAAAAAAATATTTGATCAATGTTCATTAGAACATGAGTAAAATTTCTTATAATGCTGTATCTTTAATTCTATCCCATATGATTTTCAAACACGAGAAACTGAACTCCATCACGTCCATCTGGTGGCGATCTCGTGTATTGCTCGTAAATGATAAAAAGTACCAAAATAACGGAAAGATATATTTTTCATATCGTCTTTTTGGCAATACAAAAAGATATCTTTTAATCGACCTTTTGCTTTGCGACAATGACAACTATAGAAATATGACGAAAAGATGTATTTTTTAAGTTATCTTTTCGATAAAACTCTTTTCGACAAAT